AGCCTAGAAACGTAAACAAGGAAAGAAGTTGTTATCCATAAGATACCATCAAATACCATCAAACTTTGGACATATTTGTACGCCCGGTGAGGCAGGATTTTATCACTCCGCCATATATGATTTGTGACCTGCTAATAGAACCAGAGTAATCTATTACATGCTAGAACCGACACAGTGGGGAGTGAAATTATCCAACGATCGAATTGCATCCCTCTCAAACCCAAAATTGTCCATTCAAGATGAAAAATCCCAGTCTCACCTTGGTTCAAATCTCTGAACCGGAAATATACGCAAGATAAATAATTTCTTTTTTGGAAATAATGTTCCTGAAAATGGATTTCAAAATGCCACAATGTGTATCAATAGGGGTGTTTATATAATAATAATAATGGAAATTTATATAGCGCTAAATCCAACCACCAAGTGGGTGCTCAAAGCGCTACAAAATAATAATAATGTTTGGATAGAGTTAATAGTGCAATGAAAAGAGATGCGTTTTAAGATGTGATTTGAACGCAGCAAAAGATGGGGACAGTTTTAAGGCGAGGGGCAGTTCATTCCACAGCGATGGAGCACAAACACTGAAAGAACGCTTTCCATAAGAGGCCAGTCTATAAGAAGGAGTTTTCAAAAAGAATCTGCTTTCAGATCGCAGTTGTCTGGATGGTTTGTAGGGGGTTAGCAGTTCACTTAGATATTCTGGTGACATGCCTTTTAGACTCTTGAATGTGTTACAGAGTACTTTAAACACTATCCTCGCCTCAACCGGAAGCCAGTGTAATGACTTCAGTATCGTCGTAATGTGAGAGTACTTTGGGGCACGTGTAACGATTCTTGCCGCTACATTTTGGACTTTTGAAGTCTCCTCAGATCATCAACCCCTACTATATAATACATAAAGGTTCATCACGGAAATACGGCGACATGATCGAAAACCGGACAATTACGCACACATCAATCAATATATCCTATTTTAAAGGCCTCACCGGGATCAAAAGCTTTTGTCCATATTTCCTATGTGTGTAGGAGGCATATACACGTGCTCTCCGTGGGGGTGCATTTGTTGGAGGTTTTTTAATTGCCAAAGACCGAGTTGCTGTGCCGGAAGTGTACAAAACTAGGTCGTCAGCGCAATCAAATTGGTTAATAAAATGACAACAAATGCACGTGCTAAAATGAGAGGGAAACTCAAACGTCTATCATCCAAGATGTCACTTTCTGATGTTTTATCTTGGTAAGAATAATTTTAAAAACGAGTACAAATATTTTTTAAAGAAACACATTCATTCAGTGTAATGTGTTAGCCAATCAGATCGCCGGAGGTAGTGAAGTCGAGCTAGTTTGGTATACTTCCGGCACAGCAACTCGGTCTTTGGCAATTAAAAAACCTCCAACAAATGCACCCCCACGGAGAGCACGTGTATATGCCTCCTACACACATAGGAAATATGGACAAAAGCTTTTGATCCCGGTGAGGCCTTTAAAATAGGATATATTGATTGATGTGTGCGTAATTGTCCGGTTTTCGATCATGTCGCCGTATTTCCGTGATGAACCTTTATGTATTATATAGTAGGGGGTGTTGATACTAAACCGGGGCCTAGTTTATCGATTTTCTGACCCGCAGTGGGGGCCTGTGCAATGTACGTAGGAGCGTGGCGGTTAAACAAACCAACATGGTGAGTGAGTTTAGTTTTACGCCGCAATAAGTAATATCCCAGCTATATGGTGGCGGTCTGTAAATAATCGAGTCTGGACAAGACAACCCAGTGATCAACAGCATGAGCATCGATCTACGTAATTGGGATACGATGACATATGTCAACCAAGTCAGCAAGCCTGACCATCCTATCCCGTAAGTCGCCTCTTACGACAAGCATGGGTAACTGAAGATGAATTCAAACCTGGATCTTCACGGGTACACAAACATGGATTGAACGTGCAACATTTATTGTTTGGCTATGAAAACGATGCGTTTTCATTTGTCTGTCATCATAATTGTACAGTAAGTGAAATGTGAAAACATGCCACTGACAGACCATCGGTCGACTGTTTTCCAAGTCATTACGCCAAGCGCCATTAGAAGACAACTGAACCGTTATAAAACGCAGTGGTGCAGGGACCTACACAGATCCGGTCGACCACGTTCGACAACTGCAGCGCAGGACAGGTTCAGACGGACGGACGTTATATGATAGACTCAGCACGGTCAATAAAAGGATTATGTAGGATTTCAGCCCAGCCAGTGAGAAACGCAGGTATTCTCCCGAGAAGACCAGTTCAAGGCGTTATTCTGACTGATCAGCAACGTCAGCTGCGCCGTCAGTGGTGTCAAGGACACCGATTACGGCAACAGCAGCGAGGGAGATGGGTATGGCTTAGTGACGAATCACGTTCTTTTTGGCTTCTGTGTACAGACGTCATGGTAGGCGTTATGTTCGAAGCTGCATGCAGGTAGTGGACAGGTTTGGTACAGGTACTCCCGACGTTGTACGCGTCCAGGGAAAACTAACAGCACACCGTTACAGAGATGAAATTCTTTGGCAACACGTCTTCCCATTATGGAACAAGCCATCGTCATTTGTCAACACGAGGAAGCCCGACCTCACACGGCAAGACTGACAACGACCTTTTCGAGGAACCACAACATCCAAGTACTGCCATTGCCCTCAAGGTCGAGTATACTCCATCGAGTATGTATTGGTTGCTCTTGATCAACGTCTGTAACAGCCACAGAACTTCCAGTATTTGTCACAAGCACTATCTGACGAATGGGTGAACAATCTCCATGACACAATTCGTAATCTGATTGGTTCCATGGGGCGACGATGCCAGAGGGTTCTGGACTCCCATTGGAGCTATTCAAGATGTTGACTACAGATGACCTTCACCTTGACATGTGTGCCATCATGGCCATGATGAACCTCGGTCAGTGACAATGACTTCTGTCATGAACAATATAAACTGACCGCCAAAATAAAGTATACAAGGTTTTCAAGAGACCATTATCATTGACCCAGAGTACCTAGACACACAAACATAATACAGGGGTGTTAACAACATCTTTACACAAGCTAAAAATCACAGGCATACTACAGAAACACGTGGCGTCAGATATGCGCAAGTTCACTGGGGGTCGTTAAAACCAGTTTTCAATCACATAGAGGATAAACTGGTACTGAGTTGAACACAATAAATGCTCACTACCACCACTTTAGTATCCTGTATGTCCGCCCCTTGCATCAATACAGGCACGCAGCCTCCTTCTAGCCGAAGGTGTCAGACGTCGGACAAGGTCACGTGGTATGCAACGCCATTCGTCCTGGAGGGCTTGTGCAAGTTGCTGTCTATTCTGTGGTGGGTTAGGGCGTTTCCGCACGCGTCTGTCTAGTGCATCCCACGTGTGCTCGATCGGGGACATGTCTGGAGAACGTGCTGGCCACTGTAGAACGTTCACGTTGTTCCTCTCGTCGCTGCCAAGGACGAACAACTCGGGCCCAACGCAATCTGTGACGTCTGTGTCAGGGGTCAACACCTGTCCTGTGTAGGGTCTGTAGGCTCTGATACCTGCTGTCCGAAGACGTCTAGCCACCGTGTATCGACTGACATGGTGATCAAGGGAATTCGACAGATGACGTTACCGTCAGGAAACGGTTTCTCGGGTGTAACGTCCTCAAATGCCGGTCTTCAGCTGGTCTGTTACTCGCGGTCTCCCACCTCTTGGTCTGTCCTGTGTCTGGCCCGTCTGCCTGTAACGTTGCAGCAGTCTAGAGACGGCTACACGGGTGCAGCCGAAGGTTCTTGCAACGTTGGCGTGTGTCGACCCCATCTGGAGCATACCTATGGTCCTCTCACGTTCAACTGCTGATAGTCGTGGCATATCTGTGGTGATTTTTTTCAAACTGCATGTGTAACCTGTCCGCACACTCACTTTTATACCCTTAGTGCATGTGGAACTCTGACAGAGGCCCAAAATCATGGTTTATACAATTGACCACTTCAACGTTTTATTCACGACGTGCACGTGAATTTCACTGCAGGTATCAAATTGCTACGTTGGGCGACATGTTTCAGTGTATAATTTACCTACAAAAATATTTCTTTTAAATTTGAGAAATGGTAGTTTTTGGTATACTTTCTTTTGCCGGTCAGTTTATTATGATCTGTTATTTATTCATAGAGTGCATACGTTATACATCTGAAAACCACTTTTTCGTTTCGGTTTGTTTTTGGTTTTGCAGGGTATATATGTTATAATAGTAACTAGGGCTGTAACGATGCATCGAACTATCGATGGATTGCAATTGTTGAGTCTCCGATAGCAATAGTATTGCAATAGTTTTGCAATAGTTGGTCGCAATAGTATTTTGCAGTAGACTATCGATATGGCAATGGTTCTTTCCTCCTCAATAGTCACCCCTAAATTAGTAGCACACTTAATTTAAAACAGTAGTTCCACCTCCTTATTCCGTACTTTCGGTATATCATGACAGGTGCGCATGCGCACAGGAATCAGTACGCGTGCTTATAGGAATCGGTTAGTATCAGAAGTTTTCGACTGAGTTGAATATTGTGTTTCGGAGGACATGCTACGAGGATAGTGTGCAAGATATTGCCGAGTGCGGCGTTCAACAACAAACAAAGCATTCAAGCTGATGAGAGAACGTCAGTGTACGTGTCCATGATATCTGTCTCAAAAAGGTTCAGAATCTTCGTTTATTTGTGGCGACTTTTAGTGAATTTGACAATTAGGGTGATGACATAAACGATGAATGATAATGTATAGTGTTTCTATCCTTGGTAGTGTTTGTTCTGCAAAGGGGAGTGTTACGTGCCTGGGGGGAATGACTTGATCCTTTGACGAAAACACTCCAGAGTGACTTGATCCTGGGGTTGATCTGATCCTCTTGCACGGGATCTACCTTCTTTCTGCCTGATGGTTTTCAGAGTAAAATCACGAAGATCACGCAAATTTCAAAAAACATACAAAAGTTTCCTTTTTCAAACATGTTTATTTCACCGAATGACGTGAGAAAGTTGACAAGTGGACGATATCTGAATCACTTCTCTTTCCACAGCATAATGCACAACCGCGATTATCCGGACACTTGTGTTCAGACGGATATTGTATCTTTCAAACAGCACGTTCGGTGCAGATACACAGGTTGTTCACATTTCTTCACTTTTCATTATTCGCATTTAAATTGCCCTTACACAGGAATACTTTACACTTATAATATTTTGAGATATAGAACCTAGATTATTGTTCAATAATATTTTAATCAGTCAGTGTTTTTTAAAGAGAAACGTCGTTGTTTGTAATTTTTAAGTCTCTAACTTTCAACCACACAAGGCTACAAAAATAGACCTTCAAAAATATACTTGAAAAGATTTTAACATAACGAGAGTTTAACATAACGAATTTACAGATATTGCTTCAAAAAGAATTAGTCTTAAGCAACCCGGGCTTGTCGTAAGAGGCGACAAACGGGATCGGGTGGTCAGGCTCGCTGAGATGCTTGCCACATGTCATCGTATTCCATAAGCATAGATCGATGCTCATGATGTTGATCACTGGATTATCTGGTCCAGACTCGATTATTTACAGACCGCCACCATGCAGCTGGAATATTGCTGTGTGCGGCGCTAAACAACAAATTAGCAAAACAAAATACGGAAAATGGTCTTTGAGATGATGGACCAGAGTGAGTGAGGATGCTTCAACGACGCCTTGGACAATACTTCAGTTATCATGACGCGCCAAGGACGACATCAGTTATAATACATGAACCCACTAACCGTACACACGGGAGACGGATCTTACCATAACTAAGGGGCGCAACTCTGCACAGCGAAGTAAGAAGTCAGTGTGGACGTTTACAAAAGAAAGGGAGACAACTCTGGAGTTCTGATTACTTGATCCGGTGTAGTTCGGGTGTCAGATGGCCCGACAGTCTGTAGTACATCCAGTAGACGATGTTAAACACCACGAACGCCACCGGAAATACAGCCCTGGACGCCTTATCAACAATTTTCCCGGGGTCCCTTCCACTTCCAGGCGTTGAGAGGGTATTGTCGTTATTGTCACGTGTTTCTATTCCAGTATTTTGGCCTGTTGACATGGAAACCTGCAGAATAAGAGTACACAATGTTCAGAAAAGATCATCAAGTCACAACATTGATTACACAACAGTCTCGTTTCCTGTTGACTTTGTTCTGTCCTATTGCGCAACTTAGTACAATAACCAGTCCAGAATTTTTGACCAATTCATTTAACTGGATACATAAATATTAATCAGTATTATTTGATACATCTAAGCACTTGTATATTGCAACACTACGCTCCCTTATAATCCTTGCAAACATGTCGTGCAGCGTGCTCTGTCGTACAGCGAGCACTGACAAACAGAAACCTTGAAATTGTGGAATATTCAAAACGAGGCTCTGCGGCTAGAAAAGTGTGGCGGTCTGGTACGGACTTGATATTACATCAATCACATTGTGCGTTACAGAACTAAACTGAATAAGCCCAAACAACACATAACAGGTGTAACCAATGAGCCAAATGCATTATGAATCATTTTACGACTTCATGAAACTGGCGCAGTCTGTGACGTCTTAATTTAGGTCATGCTGCCTACACCTCGCCATAAAATATAGAAATACAATGTTATTAAAGTTTAAAAATAAAATTCATTTGTAAATACCATTTTCCTATGAAACAAGGAATTGGAATTCGGTGTAACCATAGTTGTTTGTGATATCTGTTTTCACTTTCACACGAGAAAATTCGGATCGGCTAAAAAGTAGGTCATTGTCGGAAAAGGTTAATGAGACTCATGTTTCGGTTTGCTGATATTCCAGCTGCAGCTTTGAATACTTTGAGACGACGGTGTGTGCATTTTGTTGAAACCGAGAATCTCGGACAGGGATCTGCCAAAACAATTGGTTACAGTTGGAACAAAGACAACTTGCATCTCACTGCATCTTAACCTGACGATGACAAGTACAAATGTATGTCTTATGTACGAGAAGCCTTCTTTAATGGGGGTGAGGTGAGGTGAAATGGGGTTTAACGTTGTACCTAATAATATTTCGCTCATATGACTGCGATCTGAATCGTAGGATAATCGAGACTGGTTATTCTCTGGCGTTTAGGATATTTATTTGCTTGTAATTATCTCAAATTTGAAACTGCTTCTGTCTACATATGTCCATGTTCATTTGTTCTACTAAATGTTAACCGACCCGTGAAGGTCCGTGTTTGAATGAACCTTCAGTAACCCATAAGAGGCGTAAGAGGCGACTAACAGGATCGGGTGGTGAGGCTCGCTGGCTTTGGTTGACACATGTCATCGGTTCCCAATTGCGCACATCGATGTTCATGCTGTTGATCACTGGATTGTCTGGTCCAGATTCGATTATTTACAGACCGCCGTCATATAGCTGGAATATTGCTGAGAGCGGCGTAAAACTAAATTCACTCACTCACTAAATGTTAACCACCCAGGATATCATTTACTTCGGGGTTTTCTCCCACATGAAGCAGACACGCCGTTATATAACTCACAGACTATTTATATCGGCGTTAAGCACATTTACACGATTCCTACGTTGATGCGTACAGATCGATGACATATCGATCTCACTGCGTTAGATCTTTGAGCGTGGCTAGCCTGTTCAAATCTTGATAAATCTCAGATCAGTACTGTATTTCTCGTCAATCAATACGACGAGGTACTCATGCAACTGACAGTTATAGAAGCACGGGACACGGGTCGTTATTGTCAACACATCTACGGTGTAATGCGAAACAAAGTGCAAACGCCAGTCCATGTCCTAATCGCCAACACAAACTACGTAACCATGCCAACCACGTTATGCAGAATGCGATTTTTATCACAGTGAAATCCCATATCCTGAAGATACTACAAACACTCTCAAATGATTATGAAGTCCAGCTCCACGTAAGAATCATGCAAAATTGGGAATTTTGGATAATAGGAAATCACCAATTTGGTCGAAATTTTCAGAATTTTATCACATCACTTCATTAAACATCTTTGTGATTTTTTTTAAATGTATGCCTTAGTTTTCACGATACGTCCATATTTCCCCAAAGATTAATGGACTGACTGACTGAGTTTGGTTTTACGCCGCTTTTAGCAATATTCCAGCAACATCACGGTGGGGGACACCAGAGATGGGCTTCACACATTGTACCCATGTGGGGATTCGAACCCAGGTCTTCGGCGTGACGAGCCAACGCTTTAACCACTGGGCTACCCCACCGGTCCAGATTAATGGAGGTAGACGAGCGACAACAGGTTGACATTGCAAATTCCTGTTATTTTTGTCGAAAAATGAAACTAACAGTCCTCTTAAATGCTTAGATAATAATTTCTTGTAGAATATTCAATAAATAGTTTAATTCTCTTGGTAAATGTACCAAATTATTTCCTGTCAAAATTTGAAAATTATGATTTTTTTATAAATTTCAAAGTTTCATTTAAAAAAATTCAAAACTCTTTTTATCTTGATATCATAATTTGATAATTGTATTTAGCACAGCAATAGCAATTACAGCATCACAATAATGTCACATAGGTTAGAGTACCCGTTACCTTGACAACTGTTGCTATGGAGCTGTACTAAACAACTCTTCAAAAATATGGAAGTGGAAGTTATCCGTATTCTTTCAACACAAAGTAAAAGAATTCTGACGGCAACGAATGGTTTTAACAATATTGTCAACTGAAAAATAGCATTTTCGTACACATTCTGGAGTCAATTTCATAGAATTCTAATTAACGGCTAATTAATCAAAAATAGTGAGAGCAGAAAACATTCTGAGTGACATGACATGACATTTTACATGGCCAAATAAAGAGACTGACAAAATTTCAAGTCATTGTCAAGCCAATCGACTTCTGCATGATTCTTAGGTGGAATGGTACTTAATGTTTAAAAATGCGTGAGTTGGTACACCGACATTTTGAACATATTTCATTGTCTAGAATATCACAACAGTTTGCTGATGGTTGAAAGTGTTTGATTTTCAGGTGTATTAAGGCCCGTAAGCTTGATGGGGAAAGGACCGAATCATGAGGGGAATCGAACCCAGGTGTTCGGCGTGACGTGCGAACGCTTTCACCTGGCTACCCCACCGCCACTATAAACTTTGACTGACTGACTGACTGAGTTTGGTTTTACGCCGCTTTTAGCAATATTCCAGCAATATCACGGCGGGGGACACCAGAAATGAGCTTCACTCATTGTACCCATGTGGGGATTCGAACCTGGGTCTTCAGCGTGACGAGCCAACGCTTTAACCACTAGACTACCCCACCGCCCTATAAACTTTGAAACAATGCTTATACGAATGTATGCCTCCCAAAGGCCGCTTGTTCCTTAATTTCTTCGACCTCAACAAGCCGACAAATAGAATGGTGGAAGCTCATCAGATGCCGTACAATCAGCCAGAGTGAGTGAGTGAGTGAGTTTAGTTTTACGCCGCACTCAGCAATATTCCAGCTATATGGCGACGGTCTGTAAATAATCGAGTCTGGACCAGACAATCCAGTGATCAACAGCATGAGCATCGATCTGCGCAATTGGGAACCGATGACATGTGTCAACCAAGTCAGCGAGCCTGACCACCCGATCCCGTTAGTCGCCTCTTCCGACAAGCATAGTTGCCTTTTGTGGCAAGCATGGGTTGCTGAAGACCTATTCTACCCCGGATCTTCACGGGCCAAATCAGCCTGATCAAAATACATTTGGAAACAGAAAAATTACAAGTATTTACAGAGAATTTTATTGGCTAACCAAGTGCGTGTGTTTTCGTAAACGTAAACTAGCTGATAAAAGGGTGGGTCGGATCTTGAGTTTCGCAGTATAGCCATTAATCGAGAAGTCTCGTAAAGATTGGGGCGGTGGGGTAGCCTAGTGGTCAAAGCATTCGCTCGTCACGCCGTCGTGATATTGCTGGAATATTGCTAAAAGCGGCCCAAAACCAAACCCACTCACTCTTAAAGGTTAATTTGGGGAAATCTGACTTTCGGTGCTGTGATTTAGTTATATGTTACCTTCTCTTTGTACTTGGTATTTGTCTTGAGCTTCTTAAACCGTCGGGACAGCACCGTGACGACAGCATACTCCATGTAGGCGGCAAACACGAACACCAGGCAGGACGTCATCCAGACGTCAATCGCCTTCACGTAGGGAACCCTGGGAAGTTGTGCGCGCGCACTCGAGCTCTGGGTGGTGATTGTGAGCACTGTAAGGAGCCCCACGGAGATTCTGGCGGGAACTGCCTCGTGGTCGACCCAGAACGAGGCCCAGGATAAGACGACGATGAGGACGCTTGGGATGTAGGTCTGTGTGGCGTAGAAGCCGATCTCCCGCTTGAGGTGGAGGACTGCTCTCAAACATGTAAAATTTCCTGAAAATGTTGAAGCGACCATCTGATATTTCATCATCTGGGAATGTAAATCGAAGGGCCTTTTTCTTCATAGGTAATTATTTTTGTAATTTGATGTTTTGTTTGTTTATCGTTGGTTTACGTCGCACTCAGCAATATTCCAGCTATATGGCGGCGGTCTGTAAATAATCGAATCCGGACCAGATAATCCAGTTATCAACATCATGAACATCGATCTACGCATTTGGGATATGATGACATGTGTCAACCAAGTCAGCGAGCCTGACCACCCGATCCCGTTAGTCGCCTCTTACGACAAGCATGGGTTGTTGAAGGCCAATTCTAACCCGGATCTTCACGGGTAATATATGAAGAATAACTCCACGTTACAGACTCAATTACTACTCAAAAGTAGTCCCTCAAGTGAACAATTCTTTCAGCTACGCCCGTTTGCGCTTCACGGAGCCCAGTCGCAAAAATGGCCACCAGAGGGACGCGAGTGCCGGAATCACAAGCGGTGGTCACGAAGGTGGCTGTTGATTGAGGCAATAAAATACTTCCCCACGCCCCTCTCTCTCCTGACATAGCAACCTCTGACATCTCTTCCCTGAACTCACTGATTGTTTTAAGCTGTACCAGAGAAGGAGCGATAACCAAGATGAAGACATTTTACAGGGCAGGAATAACATTGCTAGAATATCTCAGGAACTATTTTCTATGGCAGGCCAAGAACCCTTAGGTTGATATGCCCTCGTTGAGAACATAATGATTTAATCGATCACTTATAGTTTGAATTTAGAATAGCCAGTGAGTAAGTTGGGTTTTTACAAGCAATATTAAGGAATCCGTGATAAGCTAACGCTTAAACCACTCGACTGCCCTGCGGCCCATGAGCTCGGTGAAAGGTTGAACTATGTGTACCACAAGTTTCAATTCAACCGGTTTGGCGAATTTGAACGAATCCACAAGCACAGCTTCCTGGCTATCCATGGGAGGTAACTCTACTCGCCGAATTCAGGGCCTTAGACGACTTCGCCACCAGAGCGAAAAAATGGCCGGTGGGGAAGCCTAGTTTTTCTAGTGTTGGCCAACCCGGTCAGTCGGTGTTCGATCCCCATATAAGGGTATACCCTTTAAATCCAGTGATAGTTACAAAATGTGGCGTAAAACAATACCCAATCGCTATTCTTGGAGAAGATTTCAATATCACAAGTGTTATATAATTCTGTGCGGCCACAAACATGTTCGTTCACTGTTCCAAGCGTCCCACGGATCAATCAGAACATACCTATGGCATATGTTGAAGAACAATCCTCGGCGATGACGTCAGAGATACTGAAGTCGGGGATGTTTGCCTCGGGTCGCACTGACGTCGCTTGACGATTCGCACTCCACCGGAAGTACATCGAGTCGGCGGTGAAGCTGTCTGCAACAACATTTCCTTCTGTATAAGCCATGATTACACAAAAAGCAGCCTTACAATGGAAGAGAGGGAATTTTATATTCTTCTTGTGTTTTCTGGAACAATTTTAAATAACTGCAAACCGGGAAACAATACATGATAGATTGTTAGTTGAACAAAAGTATCACTGAAACATTTTGATTGTTTCGGATTGCGATCCGAATGTTTACACTGCGTGGGGAAGGGAGGTAACTCCGAAGTAAGTTGGCACTGTGGTATGGGCTTCGCGGCGAAGAACAAAAAACTATAGTAGGCATTTAATTTTTTGTGTGTACACATTTTCTTGTGCCGACAAACAACGCATCTACAGTGTATGAAACAGGAAGTAACGGCATGTAGAAAAGAGATGTATCATGTTAGTAAATCAGCATTAAGAATGTCACCCGAGAAGACGCGCCTTCTGGGACTGTTCAAAGATTTATGTTCGGCAATTGTCCCAGGTCCAATGGGCCCAAATGTATGATCATCACCAATGTCTTAGGACTGGATTCTCTTCCACCAGTAGTATCATTCATGAATGAACCTATTAATCCTGGGTTTAATCCCTTGTGTGATGTAAACTTCTTGGCGAAAGAAAGTGCATGAATATACATTGGAAAACTAGATTGGCAGAAACATTAACCTACATTCGTTATCCGAGTAACTTGGCTGAAAACTGTCGCTGAAATACAGCAAACTGAATTCTCATTCAGGGGCGGATCCAGAGGTGTGTGTTGGAATGGGGGTAACCCCCCTTCTCCCCAGAAAACAATTTCCCTGAGGAGCATTGCCCCCCTAACCTTTGTACTTCATGATATATGTGCACCTCCCCTTCTCCAAAATCCTGGATCCCAAAACACCATGATACCCGTATGAAATACACCACCATTCAAAAGCCTGCATCTTGTCTGTTATCCCCCGCGGGGATATAGAAACAAGTTCCGTCCGCCCGTCACACTTTGTCCGAAGTATATCTCCTAAAATATTCGTGATAGCTTAACCAAACTTGGTACACATGTCAACCATGATCCCTAGATGTGCCTTTTGGGAGTTAGACCCAGATACGAATTTTATTTTTGTGGTTTCCATGGAAACGTGACTTAGGTTTGTTACTATGAGGATGTCATCTTGTCTGGAGCACATCTCCTGAACTATATATTCTAGCTTCATCAAACTTGGTTTTCATATCAAGCATGATCCCTAGATGTGCCTTTTGATGGTTAGACTCAGATACAAATTTATTTTTTTGGTTTCCGTGGAAACGTGACTTAGGCTGTGACTATGAGGATGTCATCTTGTTACATTTCCATGGCAACAAGTTAGGCTTCAACTGAATTTGGTGGTAGTGCTCCTTTTTGGAGCAGATCTTAAAAACCTTTCAATACTCTCCTTCCACTTTGCTATATACGCTCCAAAACATTTGACATAATCATAACTAGTAGACATATTCATGAAGAGTATTTTGTCATTGCGGGGATATTGATGACTTTTGTCTTCTTGTTTATTTTAGCACAATCCAGAGTGGGTGTACACGTGTTCTTTTGTGTGTCGAGCCGCAGAGGCTAAAATATATATTTCGGATATCCCGGTATAGATCTATTTATAGGGTAACCTTCTTTTGTTCTGCCTGACAATCTGTATTTACACCTAGGAACATTCAAGCACCGCTTACTATATATTTCAGTAAGAATATACTTTTTATGAATTCTTCTCCAATTTTATGACAAAACACACTTGTTATTTTTAACAGTGTGTAAAGAGTAATCGATAATCTTTGTGCTCTTGAAGCAATCTTCTCCTCGGCGGTATTGCTATGAAGCTGAGATCGATGACTTAGGGGAATCTCATCCACTTAACAAGAGTAGATAGACGTTTATAACGCCGAGGCTTTCAGAGACGTGTACTGATATATTCGCTCTCATCACGAGGGTGATGTTCTATTTTCATCCGAAATCATTCTTGCACCCACATTTTCAGTTTGTAAACGGTAACAACCAGTGTCTTCAGTGTGAGTGAGTGAGTGAGTTTAGTTGTACACCGCACTCAGCAATATTCCAGCTATATGGCGACGGTCTATAAATAATCGAGTCTGGACCAGACAATCCAGTGATCAACAGCATGAGCTTCGATCTGCGCAATTGGGAACCGACGACATGTGTCAACCAAGTCAGCGAGCCTGACCACCCGATCCCGTTAGTCGCCTCTTACGACAAGCATAGTTGCCTTTTGTGGCAAGCATGGGTTGCTGAAGACCTATTTTACCCCGGATCTTAAGTGTGGAAAATACAGACAATGATTAATATGTCTCAGTGACTAAAAAAATTAGAAACCTGGTGTCCTAGTAACAAGCGATATATACTGTGGGGGCCAGGTTTTGGAAATTAAAGTACATGAACGTTGGGCATATTTAGAAATAGACGGTGGTGCGGTGGTTTCATTGTTTTTAGTTGTTGTTGTTTTTGTTTTGTTTTGTTTATTTGGGTTTGGGTGTGTGTGTGTGTTGTTGTTGTTGTTGTTTTTTTTTGTTTGGGGTTGTTTGTTGTTTGTTTTTTGGGGTTGTTTTTTTTTAGGGGTTTTAGGGGGTCGCTTTATTCTAGTTAAATTATGGTTAACCCCCACAGGACCAAGTGACCACTTACAACTTTCCATTGCTATGTAACAGGTTTGAGAATCCATGGGGAACTTGACCAGGTTCATCTGGCACTGGACGACCACCGACAGCCTGGAAACAGAACGTTCCACAAGATGTACAGTTGAAATGTAATATTAGCTGTCAGCTAATCTCGAGGAGTACACGGGCGGTGGGGTAGCCTAGTGGTTAAAGCGTTAGTTCGTCACGCCGAAGTACCCGGGTTCGATTCCCCACATGGATACAATGTGTGAATCCTATTTCAGGTGTCCCTCACCGTGATATTGCTGGAATATTGCCAAATTCGGCGTAAAACCCAACTCACTCACTCACTCACTTCTTGCGCGCGCGCAGACAGTGTAATAACAAGTACGCTTTGTAAACGCCATTAGTTTGATGCGGTGGGGAATCAAACCTCTGGTCTTCGATATTCAGACACACGCACGATATGACGATATGACACTACACGAACAACCCACCTCTGTGTGTAGAGAATAGTCCCGTTAGGGAAGAGTCGAATCATGATGTTTGGTGTTGTCAGGTTGTGTAGAACCTCGTGTTTTGATTGGGTGAAGTAAAGATCCGGCACCCACAGGGACTCCAGACGCTTGTGGCTGATGACGATGCTGCGGTTGAAGTCGTCGTATATGAGACGTCGGTCTTGCCACTGTTGCCGTAGGAAGAAGCTAGTGCTCACCTCCTGAAACATCAGGTTATCTCCAAGACTTCACCTCACTACATTCGGGACAGGGAAATAGGTTCACACCAACCCATATGGTTGTCGTAAAAGGCGAATAACTAAATGGACTTTCACCAAAAATGCCTTCTGTGTTTCCAGACATGATCATTACATATGTTAACTTACTAATATTTTATACTCTAAATGAATAAGAACAGAGATTTCCTCTCTTCAACCACCCTGTCCTTTGCTAACCTTCTTTCCCATTATCGCTTCTCTTGTATATACCTGTTGCATATCATCTTTTCAGATATAGAAATATGTTGTTTATTATTATGTTGCACATAATATATTAACGTGACCCCGAAGTCCTCAGCCACGTGGACACGTACGGATCAATGTACAACCGTGAAATCGTCTCTCTCGAATTAAAACAACAACAACAAAAAAACAACGAAACTCAAGAATAATTAAATGGGTCCGGCCCGGTGGTTTGGTTTGCATGTGATCGTGTCTTAGTTGCATGGATCAATGTTCAGGATGTCAATCACAGGATTGTCTGGTCCAGAATCTATTGATAAGAGACCGGTGTCGTTTAGCGAACCGTTGCTGAGTGTGATGTTAAACACACAAACAAACAAAACTGCTTCGTTTACACTCGGGTCCGCGATCAAATGCACGTCCGTCCGCTTGAATTAGATTCAAATTTCAGCAACCCACGCTCGTCGAAAGAGACGACTGAATCGGACATGATCGTGTGATCAGACTTCCTGTCGTAGTTGACACATGTCATCGTATCCCAATTGCGTAGATCGATGCTCTTGATGTACTAAAATGTCTGTTCCAGATTCGATTATTTATAGACAATGATACTGCTGAATATATCAAACAGCAAACAAACGCAGCATAACATAAAGAAACATAATTTGTTCCAGAAAAATAAAACCACAGGTTCCCTGACTAGAGAAGTCGCCATTACGATGCCTTGACCTACCATTTTGATATTGCTGACGGGGCCGACTGAATTCAAGGCCATATCAATCTCAACACGGGTTGCCTCCCCTGTAAACATCAAACACAAGGTCAGAAAATGAATACCACGATACATCGATACATAACTGGTCACAAGGATGCAGATTATGTAAAATAATGTACATTATTTAACATCAATCTCGATTACAAATTACCGGGCAACGCAAATAATGTGATGTTGATTAAAACATTTGGCCGACCGGGTTAGAAGTGGTCTCCAGCAACCCATGCTTGTCGTCAGACTAATATATGGGTTTGGGTGGTCAGGCTCGCAGACTTGGTTGACACGTGTCGTCGTGTACAATCGCGTAGATCGATGCTCATGGTATCTGTCACTGGAATATTTACAGACCGCCGCCACATAGCTGGAATATTGGTGAGTGCAGGGGTAAAGGGGTTAGATACATATATTCCCAAATGTGGAAACACCAGTTGTCAACTCTAAGTGGAACCAGATTGTATCTTTATATTAAGAAAAACATTCTTTGCTTCGAGAAATATTTATCTAATATTGATGTTAAAAAGTACAGAATTGCCATGCCACGCTTTCGTCTTGAGAAAGGTAGATGGAGTGTACCAAAAATACCATTTATTGATAGGAAATTTCCCTTGTGTCCACATGGCATTGAAGACGAGTATCACGTATTACTTATTTGTCCTAAGTATCAGGAAAAACGTCGGGGTTATTAATCCTTACTCTCCTTGAAAATGCAAATATGTATAAATTTGTCGGAATGCTGAAAAGTGAAAATGATGGCGTTATCTTTAACGCTGCCAAATGTACTGATTATGTTATGATTGAAAGAAATAAACATAAATACTTATAAGTGTATACTGTGTATACCCTTGCTCATGGGACCGCCTCCGTGGTGTAGTTGTTAGAGCGTCCGCCCGGAGAGCGGAAGGTCGCGGGTTCGGACCCCGACCGCGTCATACCGAAAAAGACGTTAAAATATGGTACTTGTTGGTCCCTGCCTGGCGCTCGGCATAAATGGGTACACCAAGGACTGGTCGGCTCGGAGTCAGTATAATGTGTCTGGGCTAGTACAAGCAGCCGCACATACACATACACACACACATGCACGTCGTCATATGAGCGAATTATTCCCAAGCACGACGTTAAACCCAATTTCACCTCACCTCACCTCACCCTTGCTCTTGGACAGTGTTATAATCATTGCATATTAATAACAATTTATACTGTGTGTATAATCCTGTCATGTGCTGAAAGACCAATATATTGTCAGTGACATGTATTATTTTGGTCTTTTGACGTAATAAAATCTTGTCTTGTCTTGGTAAACAACAAACAAGCGTATCACTTGGTTGACACATGTCATCGTATCCCAATTGTGCAGGTCGATGCTCAATCACTGGATTGTCTGGTCCAGACTCGAATATTAATAAACATCCGTCACAAAGCTGAAATATTGCGGCGTTACACAAAATCATGGATCATTAAATCCATGGGTTAAGCGATCAAGTAAACACCAGTTTATAAACAAGGCACAGCTCCTTCTGCATTTGCTACGGTAATTTCCATAATTGGAACACAATGTATACATGAATGTACACTATGGCAACGAAGAAAGGTAGAACTTTTGTTTGTTTTGTTCGTGTTATTTACCTTCAATGATTTTTCTTTGACATTACGATAGATTTCTAACTTCAGAAAGCCGACCCTCGTCTGTGATGGTTAGATGTGGTAATGAAGTTCTGAACAACCAGTGGATGGTAACACCAACATTGTTATCACGTAATGTAAACTTTGCCTATGTCCTTTATAAACCTCGGTCATGTAGTCGTTGGTTGGTGTTAATATTCAATACGAAGCTATGTTATCAAGACATGACTCGGTGTTTTCCGCGAGGGAGGATGTAGAATGTATGGCACAGCCTCGGCATAGGAACATTCCACTCTCCTACCCAGAGTTCCATGCGGCAAGCCAGCATAGTACCAGAAAAATGTGACGATTCGTCACATCTTGCGCCGTCCATTCAATATAATGTACAGATTTCTTTTACTCTTTTATTTTTGACGAGTCTACACATCTAACTAAACATCTTTAATAGAATGGTTTAGTTTCACTGAGAAAATATCCTAAAACATGTAACACTATTTCTATTTGCGTAGCGATCCTTTGTTTACATAGGTGTACGGCTCCACGTGCTGTCATCGAAGCCGACGGAGAGCAAACGACGCAGCCAGTTTGATATCTAAATATGTACTGTCATAAACCTTACTGTCGTAGTTGTGGAAGAATATACATGTTTTTACACTTCAGAAAGGTACGCCTTTTTCATGACCCGAACTGTACTTTCTCCGACACTAAAATCCAACTCTTTGCTGAAGTGCTGCGCGGCACGTGTGTTTCCGTGTTGAACAGCGTACTTTGCTATTTTTGCTCTGGTTTCTGGAGAATAATGGTTGTTGTTTCGCTTCCTTTTGACGCCACGTCTAGAGACTACATGATCTTCTGAAGCAGTTGAGGTTATAATAGCATTATTTGCAGCCTCCATACGAGCAGTTTTTTCCGGAGTATCCGCAGTACTACATGATTACACGCTGCCTACTGTCAATTAATAGTACTAACAGTTGAAAGGAAATAAGCCTTTGATCCAAACGCCCATGTGTTCGGGGAATTAAGATGTTTACACTACTGTAGAGTCGGATTAAATACTAGTATAGTATTTCCCAAAGTTGTGAGTGTAGTCATTAGTGAGTATGGTCATTCTGGTCAACCATTTCCTGATTTGTCTCCTCGCATTAATAAATGCACGCATTTTCGTTTTGAGGTTTGCACTCGCATTATTTAATACACGCATTAGTTTGTTGATTTACAGTATATGTAACAATGTAAAACATTATGAAGAGCGAGCCGAAAAGCTTTCGCGAGTCCAGTCTCTTCTTATTATGAATATGCGCGTTTGATTACAAACAGGTGAAAAGTCTGGTCACGTGATATGCAAATTAGCCTGTGGCAGTGATGTTATGTTAAGTCATCGCTGTGCCGGAGTGTGAGGAACATTCTACATTGATTGCATGTATCTCCGTATGCCGAGGCTGTGCCAGGAATTAAACAACACTCATTAAAGACAAGATGCTTTTATTTGGTAACAACTTCATATTCTGTTATAATGCGACGTTTCGGCATAGATCCTTACTCGTCAAGCAAGAGAGACGCTCGTATTAACTGGGTTGTGGGTGGGGTGGCCTATTGGTTAAGGTGTTCACCGTCGTGATATAGCTGAAAGCGGGTTAAAACCAAACTTACTCATTCACTCACTCACTCACTCACATGTATCAAAATTCATGTACACACCTGGGTAACAACGGTTACGTTTTCTCTCGCAACCGCTGACGTCATTAATTAAATTCATTTTGGTAATGGCAAGAACACGGTGATCCACTGCCAAGAAACGTTTTGTATGTTCATATGTAATGATATATCTTTAAAAAACATTGTTCCTTGAGTTGTGAAGTAATACAACATTCAGTAAGGGCTGAAGACAACACAAACGATGTCATATTTGAAACTTAAAAATTCAGAGTGAGTGAGTATAGTTTTACGCCGCATTTCAAAAGCAATCGGCGGAGAACGGCAGAATAGAGCTTCACATTTTCCACTCATTTTGGAAATCTAAACTGAGTCTCTGGCGCGACGAGCGAACGCCGTGATATTGTTGGAAGTTTGCTAAGAGCGGCGTAAAAACATTCTTCGGTAATGACGAAATCGGCACTAAAGTAATGGAGATGCCACACAAAATATGTTGGTTCTTCGTCCGGAATAAACAAATTCCAGTGATTTCTCCGACATAAATCATACGTACTCTACTATATATTTTCTCTATAATTTCTGCACATTGATCTGTAGCGTTGTACTTGTTAAAATGCTCCTTCAAAATGGCAAGTCAATTAGCGGCTTTGAATCCACAGAAACATCAATAACGTGACGTCATCACTATAGTTGTTGGGCAGTATTACTAGATGTTTTGTCTGTTCGTTGTTTAAGGCCGCACTCAGTCATATTCCAGCTATATTGTGGCGGTCTGTAAATAATCGAGTGTGGACCAGACAATCCAGTGATCAACAGCATGAGCATCGGGGGTCATTGATTTTGTACATGACATGCAGGGGGGTCACTTACTTTGTACATAAATTGTAGGGGGGTCATTCACATTGTACATGCTTCTCAATAAAAATCATCACACCTCCTCTCTGCCCCCATAAATTATGAACGGTCCCCTATTTACCAGACCCTTGACGACAGCTGACGATTGTTGTTCCCTATTTATCCCAAAAGCAACCGCTTATGGTCTGTGCCCATGAGGGAGGTAGATGAAGGTGTGCCCTCGGGTTTTCAAACAATCATGACCCCAAACAAACCGTTTTACCTTTTTTCCAAATATAATATTTCATAAAAGATTACTACATATTAAAGTGAATTTAAAGATATTGTGACATGTGCCTTGTTTTCATTGATTTATGCCAACGGAAATCTGACAGAGGTAGAACAGGAGAATAAAGATGGCGCCAACCAGTAGGTCTGAGGTCATTCTCAGCTTCTGTATCTTAGTCACTATTTCATCCCGTAATTGCCTGAGTGAAGCAGCATAATGTGCTCTATTTATTTTCTGGGCTTTCGCAAGACGGTGAACAATGGCACCCTCGGAACCCATGAACTGGTGTAATGCCCTATCCAGCTGAAATACTTGTGGCTATACCTTATGTGGGCGGTGGGGTAGCCTAGTTCGCTCGTCACGCCGAAGGCCCGGGTTCGATTCCCCACATGTGTACAATTTGTGAAACCCATTTCTGGTGTCCCCCACCGTGATATGGCTGGAATAATTGCTAACAACGGCGTAAAACCATACTCAGTCAGACTATAGCTTATGCACCGCACAGAAAAAAGATTTCTCCATCAAGCATATATTTCTATATGAACCTCAATCAACCCTCGTACGTAAAAGTCCACGGCGTCAATTGTTTATTACAACACGATGTTTCGGGTTGTTTTAGTTTCTTGAACTTAATGACTTCTTGCAGTACAAATCTGTTGTCCCTTCCTGAAAAGAAATGGTTGCGGCCAAAATGATCGGATGCAAATTAAACCTTCAAATCTGGAATTCTTCGAATCAAAAGGAAACGTGACTACAGCAAAACGAGCAAGGATTACACTAATCCACCTTGACCTTCACCTACCTTCATCAATGCCCGGTCTTATTGTAGAATCATAACACCTTGGGTCCAGAAGACGATTCAGTACATCATGTTCAGTAACATTATCATCTGCTCCATGAGTTTGATGAAAGCTGAGACTCATCACGGCGTAGGCAATAAACAGTGATACTCCCGACGCCATCTTGACGCAAAGGTCTCAAAGAATATCCCCAATGTTCATCTCGCTGAAAATACTTCTCTCCGAGAATAACCGACCATCACCTGAAAAGTTAATGTGTAATCGTTCATGCCACAAAACTCTTCACTTGTCAAAGCTTGAATTGATTCAGTACGTAATGGCCTCTGCGGCAGGACTATGAATCAATTCATCGTATCGATGGGTATTTTCCGGATGTTAGCACTGACATTCACCTCACAATGTTCAACCCGGATGGTCTCAACCGGAAATGTCCACATAAAAACATATGCACTGGCCTCACGCTAAGAATAATATAACTTCTATGAGAGAATATTTTAAACATGTAAATGCAATCAATTATATATATATATACATATTTCATCACTCATTCCCAGTGATCTTCAGAGGGACAAGAACGGTTAATGTTTCGATGGAACCTGTTTGCTTTAACATTCATTGATCTCGCTGTTCTGTACATACTTGCATGCCTGAGTCACGTTATGTCAATCACCCACCGACCCGAAGCAAGCATATTGTAAATACTTCATTACACGTAACTCCGATCAGCTCCGCAGAGAGCATCAGGTCATGTTAACCTTTTCTCGAACACCTGGTCTCTTCATTTATTTTCAGTGGTCAGTTTACATAATTCCCACCGATATTTTTCCCTCTAGCTCAAATGGAGCCCGTTTGAAGACTGGGCGTTCTATACATTGACGTTCTATATTGACTTGAACTGGGTCGATGTTTCTGCGCACGAGCTATATGTCCCCTAGTTTCAATCTAAGTTGAGTAGCATGTGTCTACCCTGAGTCAACTAGCAAAGACATATTTGGGCCGAGAAATTTAAACAGTCCCAGATGTGCTGTAAAACGAATATTACACGTTTCTCATTGATTGTAAGCATCAGAATATGTATATTTAAACTCACTGAATTCTGTCGTAGGGCAGAATACTATACAGTTTAAGCAGTAAATACTCGCTTTCTTGTGCACGTTGTGGGTCTGGCAAGTGCTGGCGACGGCAACAGGGGAGAACCCAAATTTTGCATTTTGATACAAAATGGAATCTGTCTGAAAACGCTGTATATTGAATTTGACTGAATATCTAAGTGACCTGAGTATTTGGACCCGTGCAGATGCGGGTTACAATTGTTTTTCAGTAGCCCATGCTTGTCGTAAGAGGCGGCTAACGGGATTGGTTTGGCATATGTCTTTTTTGTTTGTTGTTTAACGCAGTATTCCAGCTACAGTATACTACGTTTATAACTAACTTAAAGGGCCCTACGCTTTTAGTTCGTTATAACCGTAGTTCGTTATAACCGCAGTTCGTTATAAAACGTAGTTTACTGTATATGACAGCGGCCTGTCAATAACTGAGCTTAGGCTAGTGACTGATATCATGAACAACGGCCCAAGCCTTCCGGATCCGATGACACATAATCGACCAATCATACTGCACATCTTTTAAGTCGTATCTTACGACATTAGCATTAATTATAACCCGGAAACTTTATGCTGTTGCTACGATATCTGATATGTTCCCAAATTTTAAAAATGCAGTCAGCATACAACCATGATATCCAAATAGATAAAAATATTTTAGTTTGTCAAGGATATTCAGTCCGTGATACTAAAGTGTATCGGGTTGCCCGTGTTTGTGGGTTTCATCAGTGGTACAAGTCTGAGACCAGCATTACTTCGGATTTTCTTCCCACATTAAGCAGACACGATTAGACATAACTTGGTTACTGTTCAAACCCAGTTCCCTCTTAGAGTAAGTGAGTTGAGTTTTACGCCACACTCAGCAATATTCCAGCTATATGGCGGCGGTCTGTAAATAATCGGGTCTAGACCAGACAACCCAGTGATCAACAGCATGAGCATCGATATGCGCGATTCGGAACCGATGACATGTGTCAACCAAGTCAGCGAGCCTGACCACCCGATCCAGCCCTCTTAGAAATATGTTCACTAACTACCATGGTGTATTAACATATATTGTTAATATTTAAATCGACCTGCATGACATAAAACTTTCTCCGAAACTCTTTTCTCAAGTAGTGTAACTGGAAAATTGTTTCAAACCAACTTACTCGCTCAATATTCAACTCACAGGTCGATGCGGCAGTTATTCACCGAGAACACGTCGTCATTGCATCTATGAAGTATTAACACCTGTCAACACATAATAGCATCGAACGCAGCCCTTAACGAATACAGGTGACGGGAAAGAATATATGAAACATTTGCAAAAAACATTTCCTGGTCATGTAAATAGAAAGTGAAATTATGTAAATGAGATTTGTATTTTGTCGCTGACAATGTCCACACTGATCGTGCCCATATTTATGGCTTCTAATTCAACATGTCATTTAGTACAACGGCCCTTTATAACACTGTAAAGCTCTGTTCGCTGTTCATATGCAAGTAATGTATCGACCGAATGTCAAGTTCCATTAAGCGCAGAAAGCAATATCTACAGGTGTATCGACAAAGTAAACACAATGCCGCTCCAATATACTGAAAGCTTTCTCATTATATTTGTTTGATACATTTCTGTCGATATATACACTTGTAAAAAAGAAACGCATTGATGATGGTAATTTTCCAGCATGATCGACCCCTTCACTGCTTTAATCGGATATGTCTATCAGTCAGCTGGGGACGTATAAGAGGTCTGTGAGCACGATGTTTCAGTCTTGAGAGCGTTAGCCCGTCACGCCGAAGACCCGGGTTCGATTCCCCACATGGGTACAATGTGTGAAGCACATTTCTGGTGTTCCCCGCCGTGATATTGCTGGAATATTGCTAAAAGCGGCGTACTCACTCACTCATCTTTGAACCGTGCAGAACAATACAGAACACCTGTGGGAGGTGTGGTATGCTGCAGGCAGAGCGGTTCTACATTATGCAGCATGGATTCGTAGTCTCAACCGGTGGGCAGAGGGTACCAGGCGCCAATGTTGGAATCAACAGACATTGTGACCTTGACAAATCGTTTTGTAACATTTTGGGATAGATAGAGTGAGTGAGTATGACTTTACGCCGCGTTTAGCAATATTCCAGCGATATATCACGGCGGGGGACACCAGAAATGCGCTTCACACAATGTACCCATGTGGGGAATCGAACCCGGATCGTCGGCGTGACCGGCTTTAACCACTGGGCTACCCCACCGCCCCATGTTACCATGACAACAGTTACGCCTCCTACTTGAGAGACTGTGGTTTCCGTACCTGGGCCCTGTTCCACAAAGTCTATGTTAAAGTATGGGAGTTACGATCACCTTAGCGCTACGACTGTCGTAAGTCTATGTTAAAGTATGGGAGTTACGATCACCTTAGCGCTACGACTGTCGTAAGTCTATGTTAAAGTATGGGAGTTACGATCACCTTAGCGCTACACTCGCTTTGTGGAACGGGACCCTGGTTATGTGTTTACTGAATGACTTCGGGCTTTCCTCCCACACCAAGCAGACCCGCCGTAATATGACTGAAATATACAGATAAACACACTAATTCACTCACTAAAGCTACTCAATGCTACTGAGAGGGTGAGTGAGTGAGTGGACCGAGGTTATCGCCGCGTTTAACCAGACATGAAAACAACGGGATTAAAGTGTCGAACGAAATTCCTTTGCATCTTGCACATCTTTGTCCCAGAAATATGTCACACTGAATGTTTTAAACTTGCACCTGAGGAAGAATTATTTTAAAGTGTAAGTACTGTAAGTAAAACTGACATGCACCCAGAAAATCCCAGAGTGAACGAAACAGGGTATATATTCTGTCACGAGCTACACACGCTGGTTTTACGCCGCTTTTAGCAATATTCCAGCAACATCACGTCGGGGAACACCAAAATGGGCTTCACACATTGTACCCACGTGGGGATTCGAACCCGGGTCTTCGGCGTGACGAGCCATCGGCTTTGACCACTAGGCTACCTCACCGCCCGATTCGGTTTAGAACTGATCTTCAATAACCCGTTTTTGTCGTAAGAGGCGACTAACAAGATCGGGTGGTCAGGCTCGCTGACTTGGTTTACACATGTCATCGTATCCCATTTGCGTAGATCGATGCTCATGATGTTGATCACTGGATTGTCTGGTTCAGACTCGATTATTTTCTGACCGCGGTGTAAAACTGAACTCACTCACTCACTCACTCGAATAAGAACACGGTCAGCCACAGCTAATAATCTATCACCATTATATTTGAGTGAGTGAGAGTTTGGTTTTACGCCGCTTTCAGCAATATTCCAGCAATATCACGGCGGGGGACACCAGAAATGGGTTTCACACATTGTACCCATGTAGGGAATCGAACCCGGCCTTCGGCGTGACGAGTGAACGCTTTACCACTAGGCTACCCCACCGTCCCCCATTATATTTGAATAACATAACGTTCACAGACCCAAAATCGTATTTTGTCGTCACTGATATCAAAGGAATATCTGCTCTTTACTGCTTCTGTTATACAGATCAAGGATTTGAACCCAAGATCGAAGGTTTCGGACACGACTAAGGTCGCAGCTGTAAATAACCCAGTGATCAACAGCATGAGCATCGACCTACGCAACTGGGATATGATGACATGTCAACAAAGTCAACGAGCCTGACCACCCGATCCCGTTAGTCGCATCTTCTGACAAGCATTTCTAACCCAATTATACCCTGGATCTTCACGGGTTAGTGCTTTGTGGATGACAGGACCATGTTATGGTCATGCAGAAATTTTGAATACTCACGTCCTCGTTGTTCAGGATTTAGCGTATCCGACAGAATTTCCATTGAGCTTCGCCTGTTCCATCTCCGTCGACGGCTTAGAATCTGCCTTGCTTGGCAGCCCGGGTGATTGGTCTGTGGGGATGACACGCTGTAGATATGCAGGTCTGTGTAAACAATGGCTATACGTATTCGATCCGCTCTAAATCATTTTCTATCTATTAGTAACTATATATTGACAGTACACATGACTGTTTATGTACCCGAAAGAACTGATTGATTTGGGTGTTTGATGTGTAGCTTCTCATCCAATTAACTTTCCATAGCCTCATTGATCAAATCTTTGCAAAAATCTGTAATTGGGAGTACCAACTTGCTTTATCTTCTCCAACGCCACTAGACCCGTGAAGATCCACACACACATTATGGACAAGTTGGACGTCATAAGAAAGTTGCGTTATAAAAAACAATACTTTTTATCGGGTTTTTTCCTTTCCCAGAAGACCCGTGATGTTCCGGGTTAGAATTGGTCTTCAGCAACCATGCTGGTCGTTAGAGATGACTAACGGGATCGGGACTTGGTTGACACATGTCATCGTATCCCAATTGCGTAGAACGATGCTCATGCTGTTGATCACTGGGGGTGGGGGGGGGAGTGTACAGACTGACGCAATATAGCTGGAATATTGCTAAGTACGGCATTAAACAACAAACAAATAAAAACAACTCCTCACCTAATCTTGCTCGACGATCGATCTCGTACCTTCAGCTGCTGGCGATCGATAGCCCGTGTTTACACAGTATCCTTCTCTATAGCGATATCGTTATATGATAACTTGCTAGTTTTCAGTCAAAATCTGTATTACTCAAGTTTTGTACTGTCCACTGCCGACAAGATTTATCGATACTTTAGGTGCATTATGTACCTAGGTAACACCATTTCTGGGAGAGACAGATTTCCATTTATTGCCATGGTGATGATCAAGCACATACATGTACTTTCATCGATGTTTCTGTTATGTTATGAAAAAAGGTTTGATAGACTTTAAAAGCATCTTTATAAATATTAGGGCGGTGGGGTAGCCTAGTGGTTGAGGCGTTCGCTCGTCTCGTCGAAAACCAGGGTTCGATTCCCAAAATGGCCAAAATGTTGCTGGAATATTACGGTCGCCGCTGTACCTCCATCGCAGACCTCCCAGCTACTCTCATTCCCTCCAAGTGCCTGGGACATTATTTTCCCTTCCGCTCGGCCCTATCTGTTTTGCATAAGCAGTGTGCGAAAGTTTCCAAATTTTGCTCGCCGGTCGGGAAAGCTATGCCTGAAAGTTACTGGCCCACAAAAATTCACTAGCCCGAAATTTGAATGCAGAAACTAAGCAAAATATGACAAAATTTGATGAGAATAAGGTATCATCGGCATGACACGCGTTTCATCATTAAGTTGCTGATATCATGAACAGTTTTATCAGACGATAATTTTGCACGATTTAAAACTTAATAAGTCGGAGAGAGTGGTGTATTTACAAAATGACTTAATGAAAATTTACTAGCCAGTCAGACCAGGAGATTTACTGGCCCGACTGGAGTTTTACTAGCCACGGGCTATCGGACCAGTGTCTATTTCGAACACTGTGTATAAGCTCTAAATAAAGCAAGTCTCGACTTAACTAAGGTTCAGGTATGAATCGCAGTTTCTCACTGAATCTCAGTTTCTGTTCAAACAGTTATTTAGTTTCTATCCAAATATTATATTGCATGAACACAGGAAAAGACTTGCGCGAAGGGACCAATATGGATCTCGATATTGACATGTCCGTCAAAGATTGGTCGTGCAGGTCCTACAAAGTGTATTTTATGTCTGCTTCCCCATCTCAATTCTCTATTTTAAAGTCATCGAGACATAGTGTAAAACAATAGCTCAAGCTGTGATTTACTTCTGGTTGAAAGCAAAGTGATTGAGTTACGATTATCGTAGCGATGAGGAAAAAGAATCTAAAATTTGCAAATTTTCCCTTAAACACGACCAAACCTCTCACCTTCCCCTCGTCTCAGCCATACTGTCGGTCCAAGTTTTATAGCCTTGTTAAGGCAGTTTCACCATAGCGTGTTTCGTCCACCGTGAGTCGGGTGTGACTGTAGTGCACGTGCTGCACGAAATTCACGCACTATCCCGTGCAGAGCGACAGAGGGAGCAGTGCAATTGACATTTGTGCTGTGGTTGGTCTTTTCAACGAACCTGACGAATCGGAAATGGGCAATATACACTACTCACACATTGATAAGGATAAAAAAAATTCACACCTTTACTTAAACGTAGATTTATAATATGAAATTGTATCCATTTAAAACTGGATAAATAATAATATGTTAACCCCTCTTTAGGCGGACAGCCACTTTATTCTAACCTTATGCACTTGATACATGAGTAACCATAAAAATGGTTTTCATGGCACCAATCAACCATTTTGCAAATCATGGAACGAGCATTGACAAATAAACAACACCTGTCAATAGCAGGTATGGGATCAACAAGATGCAATGCCATACTGAAACCTAGGGTCCATGCTTACAATAAGCTTAGATATTTAAACCAAATTTGACCACACGTCATAGTTTTCTGTTGAATCCACGATTTGATCCTTAGCAAAGCGTGAACATTATACTATCTTTCACATCCTCTGGTCATAATATTTGTGAATTGTTATATTTTGTCATGGTGATTTGTTGCCGGTATGACGAGCGAGCTGAAAAATATAAAAATGATACTCCAATTAGTGTAGTTTTACGCCGCCTTTAACAATATACCAACAATATTATGGCGGGGGACACCAGAAATGGGCTTCACACATTGTAACCATGTGGGGAATCGAACCCAGATCTTCGGAGAGACGAGTGAACGCTTTAACCACAGGGCTACCGCTCCGACCAATGGCATGTTAATCTCTTACTCAATAGTTTTAGGTTGGTTGTTTTGGCCTACTGGTAATAAAATCCTTAAACAGGGTCATCTTTGTCTGTGGGAGACAGTTGGGTAGCGTAGTGGTTAATGTGTAAGTTCGTCACTCACTCACTCACTCACACAGCGGAAGTACTTTTAACAGGCGACTATAAACATACATATAACGAGTTGTCAGAGGCGAGACGTCTAGGGGATTTGAGGGAATGTCCCTACTCATTTAAAAATATGGTTGCTCGAGACAGCATTCCCTGCTATATTTCCCTGAAAAGAACTTTACATGCATATTGAATGTTGAATGTGTGTGCTGTAACAGGAGCAAAAGCAAGTACACAATTTATTTCTATGCATATAGTAAAATTCTGTAGACTGGGCTTGTTATATCGGCTGAAGCTAATTGTTGCATGCAAGTGTATGTAAATACATACTGAATGCCAGAATGTTAGCTCCTGACTACTTTATGTGTAAACATAATTTGAACAAATGACAATTATGTAGATCAATAAGAAAAAAAAGTCTGTATTCTGAGGAATAAACTGTATTCCTGTCAACACCTTATGTACGGTCTTACATGAAATCCATGCGGCAAACTGCTCAATGACAAGATCTGTGTTTACAGGCATGTCTCTGTGGACATGCATCAGTGCAAGTGATGACAAACGGACATCACCCATGGTGGACCGAAGGTACGTCTTCATCCTCCTCATTGCACTTAAGGATCTCTCCATTGATGCTGATGTCACGGACATAGTGGTGAATTGCCGAAAAAATGTGAAGGCACGTGCCTAAAGTGCTTAATGACAGGTACGCTACTGGTTGTACTCTTCGGAGCCTGCAAGAATAAGGGGACAATATTTCCTACAAATGCGAAGCTTATGTGAACATCAATTAATAGATCAAATTTGGTCTTCGCTACCCATACTTGTCGTAAGAGACGACTAACGGGATCGGATGGTCAGGCTCACTGACATGGTTGACACACGTCATTGTCTCCAAATTGCGCAGATCGATGCTCATGCTGTTGATCACTGGATTATCTGGTCCAGACTCGATTATTTACAGACCGCCGCCATAGTGCAGGGTAAAACTAAACTCACTTACTCACTCATACAGCTGGAATACTGGCGAGAGCGGAGTTAAGGAACACACAAACACACTTGAATTACTAAAACTCATAAAACAATCGAAATATGTTTGTCAATATTTATTCCAAAATAGTACCAATGTAACAAAGTTATGAGATCAAAAGAAATACACACACAATGAATTACTATGAAAATAATATGCAATACTTATGAAGGAAGTAATGAAATATCTAACAAAATGCAAAACAAATTTATACACGGAAATAAGTGAAGTTTGTTTTGTTGATGTAACAGGAAACTATATCCGTCTTTATCTATACATACATTGCGATCAAACACAGACAAAGAACATAATATTGATTTGTAAGTACATGTAATCGATGAAAATCATGTACATATCACACAACCATATAACAGATTCACACAACGATGTTAATATCAGAGTGAGTGGGTGGGTAGGGTTTTACGCCGTTTTTAGCAATATCACGGCGGGGGACAGCAGAAATGGGCTTCACACATTGTACCCATGTGGGAAATCGAACCCGGGTCTTTGGGGTGACGAGCCAACGCTTTAACCACTAGGCTACCCCACCGCCCCTAATATCAGAGACTGTAAATACTTGTTCAAGAGGCATTCGAAAAGAGACTTTTGTGAAAAAGAGTATTTGTTCAAGTTGCACAAATTGTCATCAGTGATGACATTTTTAATATCAGCGTCATAAAGAGGAGCACTTTTTATGAATAGACAATTTGTTTATTGTAATAGATGTGACGTTACGGTGTAGATACTGACACTGTTATCGAACCTCACTTACTTGATAGTGTTAGTTATCTACACCGAATGCAATAACGAAGTTGTCTATCCATAAATGCATTCCTCTTCATCATACCTGCTTCTAAATGACACTTATAGAGGCAGTGTCATAATTTGACATTTTGGCTCATGATAATGAGAGTATGTGAATATTGTATTTACACTGCAATAGGTAATATTCAAAATATTAGTTCTCAACTTCTGATAGGGACATTACGATATGTCATTCTGTTTGAATACACTTGACATGTTATGAGAATAGATTCGGCGTCACAATAATAATAATAATAAGTCATCTTCTATAGCGCACAGTCACCAAACACCAAGTGATTGCTCGCGGCGCTTAATCAGAATCTGATTATTATTACCCCGGATAACCCAAGCTGCCTGTTAGGCGCTAGAAGGTTATAGTCACATGACTTTATCCAACCGGGTACCCATTTTCTGCTGGGTGAACAGAGGCAATTTGAACAAACTCACTTGCCTAAGGTGAGACCACATGTATCACATGTGCTTCGTTGTGGGTCAGGACTGAAGTCTTAGAAACTCACAGGAGTCAAGCTGGCAAACACGGTCACCCATCCAAGGATTGTCCGAGCTCGACGTTGCTTAACTTCAACTGATTCGTGACCTGAGCTCTGTGCACAAGACCACGCGCGATGGAAAGATAATAATTATCCCAATTAAAAAAGTGGAGTAGTATACATCACGGCAGCATATAATCGGTCAGATAAACAGGTGATCGTCAGCATGAGCACCGATCCACAGTGATGAGCCATGTACAAAGACAAAAGCTGCAACCACCCTATCCATTTTAACTGACATTCACAAGTGCGTATAGTTTTATGCCGTTTTAACACATTGTGGCTGCAATGGTTTCACACATTGTACCCCATGGGAATCGAACCAGCGTGACGAGCGAACACTTTATGCACAAGGTGGACTAACATCTAGTCTCTAAAATGAACATATTTTTCAGAAAAAAAACAGTTCCGAAATTATATTATAATAATAATGGTCATTAATAGAGTGTCTGTATCCACGCAAGTGGACATGCTAAGATATATAAAAACGCTAAGATATTTTACCCGGTTAACCCAAGCTGCCTGTAAGGCGATAGGAAATACCGGGTACCCATTTACTGCTGGATGAACAGAGGCAGTTTTGAACAAACTCGTTTGCCTCGGATGAGACCATATGTGCCACGTGTGTTTCATCAAATATTCATGAAAAATAATACAAAGGAGCGCAGAGACTTTCTTCATTACCAGAAACTGTGGTAATCTGGACTTGCCACCTATTCTTGACCCGCATGGGCCGCGATGGGTATACATGTATTTGACTCTTCACTAAGCTACTACAGCCAAAAACTCAAATCAGAGTGAGTGAGTTTAGTTTTACGCTGCACTCAGCAATATACGAGCTACTCAAATTAGACATGTGGTATATTTGCAAACAGAAACCCAGCGTATCCTGGAAGCCAATAAAACAACAAATATTCCAATTGGCTGTACTTATTGTAAAGGTGAGCATTCCTTGGTGTAAAAAGTGTTTACATCTGTGCAATGTCTATTTACATGTGGCTGTTCCCGTGGGATGTGTTCGTTGTTCACAGTAAATCCTTGTATAGACAACCAGGCATTTCACATTTCACATTTGAACACAATGTCATAAATGATCGAAATGATGTACATGTACAAAAGAATAACATCTTTTCTCGATATATATCCGTGGATCCAATCCACATCGTACTTATCTGTAATGTACAGATTGTGCCACGAGGCAGAGCAGGCACTGATATCAAGGACTCATCGGTCTACGTCCGCTACCCATGGTTCATGGAAGAACGTATGTTTGAAATTGATACACTCTGATAAATGTTGTTTTAACTATTCTTTCGTTTTAAAAGTTTGATAAAACATTTAATCTTGGAATTTCATGAATTTAAAATCGCTATACTCAAATTCAAAAGTGGGTTTCGGGTTTTAAATCTGACAAATATCACTTATATGTTTCATATTGATTTTCAAGAAATCAAGCCAAATCGTTTTAAAACCCAAGCATCTGATTTGCCAAATATTACATTTACATGGGTGTTCAAAGTTCGCCACTCGTTCACCTGACGAGAGCTTCTATGATCCTCGGCAGAAAGCTATCTTAATATTGAATGTCAATAAGACAATCCATAGGCGTGGTTTCTTTAGTGTGGCATCGTACCCTGACGGCAAGGAAAATGTTCACACCATCGATCACTACTTCATTCGTCAAGAATGGATCACTCATCAGTGGTACTTGTTTGTTTCGAACTGTCAAAAGGCGTTTGGGACCCTGATGATGACGTCACATCCGGTTTTCTCTTCAAACACTTGTTGAGGTGCAGGATTTCAAGGAAGGCGTTATGAAACTTCCGGTGAGTGGCGTAATAGACAAGCCAGTTGATTGACGGGTGCAAATGCGCAAAAACCACGATGTACACGTGCGCCCCGAAATGAAAAGTGTCACTCGCGTCCAGGACAATGATCAGTGCGTAGGGAATCCAGCACACGCTGAACACCACATAGATGATGAACAGTGTTCGAGCCAGCCGGAAACTAGGAGGCTTGTTGGTCTTTGACCTGTAACCACGTGACTGCTTGACGCGTGCTCTCACGGCTCGCACGTGCAGGTACATGCGCAGATAGCAGATTCCGGTGACAGTGATTGGTATCCAAAACAACACGATTGAGAAAACCACGGTGTGGGGATATGTCGCCATCCGTGCCCAGATGCATTCAAGGCTCTTGTGGTCGAAGTTGTGGTCGCCAATATCAGCGAGGTTGAGCAGAACGAGGCAGAGTCCGACGCAGTAGAAGCTCACGCAGTAGATGACGCAGTTGCGGGCCTTGAAGATGGTACTGTAGTATTTGCTGTGGACGATGAAGATGTATCTGTTGCAGCTCATGGCGGCGATGGTCATGAGAGACGCCACGCACGACATCGTGCACAACGAGCCTATAGCGCGACAGAGTCCTGGGATACGGTCGAAGAAATCAGAGCCCTCCAGTTTGGCTGTAAAATAACACAAAAGTCGTTTATAATGTGTAGAAACAATAATGAAATTATGTTATTCGTCATTGACAATGGTACAAGACAATGGTATTGAAACATCTCACTTACGAAATAAAAGAAGTTGTTATTCATAATATTTGTGAGTATTGTACTTTCTCATTTTTTAAAATGCTACTCAAAGAAGAAATTAATTCTGTTTATGGTGTTGCGTGTGAATTTTATAAACTGCTGAAAATCATAAAACAAATACAGGATAATTACTCGCTTGTTATTATTTCGCTTTTTTGTTCACTATACCAAACATAAAAGTAACAGTGAATGGGTTAGATTAAACATTGCTTTTAACATGGACACGTAGGTGAAAAACCGCCTCCGTGGTGTAGTGGTTAGAGCGTCCGCCCGGAGAGCGGAAGGTCGCGGGTTCGATCCCCGACCGCGTCATACCAAAAGACGTTAAAATATGGTACTTGTTGGTCCCTGTCTGGCGCTCGGCATTAATGTGTACAACAAGGACTGGTCGGCTCGGAGTCAGTATACTGTGTCTGAGTGGGGTATTCATGCTTCACTGCGGCATGGTATCTCAGTGGGCTTGCACTATAACAAAACCAGCTTCAGTCTGGGCTAGTACAAGCAGCTGCACATACACATACACACGCATGCACGTCGTCATATGAGCGAAATATTCTCAAGCATGACGTAAAACCCAATTTCACCTCACCTCACCTCACCAATTAGGTGAAGGGATTTTTTACAGCAATATTACAGAAATATCACGGCATGGGACATAACAATTGGGCTTTCATACACGTGTGCCTCTACGTGGGTACAAACCTAGGCCTCCGATGTTACGTGCAGACGTTTTAACCACAAGGCTACCCGTACGTCATTGGGGTAAGGTGGGGTGGGGCGTTGAGTGGCCTAGTGGTTAAAGCGTTCGCTCGTCACGAACTAGCCCACTGAGATACCATGCCGCAGTGAAACATGAATACCCCACTCAGACACATTATACTGACTCCGAGCCGACCAGTCCTTGTTGTACACATTAATACCGAGCGCCAGACAGGGACCAACAAGTACCATATTTTAACGTCTTTTGGTATGACGCGGTCGGGGATCGAACCCCATCCAACTATGAGGTTCAAAGAATGAGTATTCGTAGCGATGGCATTACGTCCTGAACAACCGTCAACCCTTATTTAAAATGAGCTAGACCATTCCAAAGTCTGCACGAGGAAAACGTGCGTTCTCTCAGCTACCCGTGTCACTCCAGATCACATACAGAGAGAAACACTGCCTTTTTGAATAGGAACTCGATACCTATAATTAATCATCAAGGTCAACTCGACCTAGAAACAGCTGATTACACAAACACGTGAACTGTCATATATGTCATTATTATTTCCTGGAAGGAACTTATGCAATGATTATTTAAGTATCTGCTACAGTTAAAGATATTTTGAGATTATTAAACTGTTGCTTATCAAGGAAATAATTTCAGCTCTGCAGCTTTCTAAAAATATTAGATTCACAGCCAAAGAAATTAAGTATATTTATATACCTTTTATTTTGTTTTGTTCAACGCCGCACTCGGCAATATGCTTGCTATATAACGGAGATCTGAAAATATTTGATTTCGCACCCGACAATCCATTGACTGATATCACGAGCTTCAGTCAGTGCAGTTACGTTAACAGCATTAACCAATACAGCGAGTCCGACGACCAGATCTCTTCCGTTACGTGGGAGGGTGTGAGTGAATTTTGTTTTACGCCGCTTTTAGCAATATTCCAGCAATATCACGGCGGAGACACCAGAAATGGGCTTCACACATTGTACCCATGTGGGGATTCGAACCCGGGACTTCGGCGTGACGAGCCAACGCTTTAACCATTAGGCTACCCCACCGCCCCGCAATGTGAATGAACATGGCAAGATTGTGTAATGTATTTTGATGTTTACTGCTTACAAGAGTAGAGAAGTTTATGATGCTTGGATGGATATAGTAATATATTTTAATGTATTTACAACGTATTGAATTATATGATGGACAGATGGGGAGAAAGTGGTATTTATCTTCAATTTCATTTAAATTACAAAGTGTACATATTCTATCTTCTTTTTTAACATTTTTATATCTGCCGCTTTCAATCAACAAATCGTGAGATGAACATTGGAATCTTGCTAGTGATCGCCTAAATTTCTTTATATTAACACATGATAAGTATACTTCACTGAACAGATCTTTTCTAAATTTTGAATAGTAAAAACATTTATATGACAAAGATATTTTCTCACACCATGTTTGAAGATATATGTCTTTAAGTCTTCTGGTTATCGACTGAATAGAGAATAAGAAGTTCTTAACATGAGATGTTCAATTTCTTTGTCCATTTTCATCATACAATAACATCATATAATAACATTTTTTCCGTGACCGATATGGAGGCATATTTAACAGTTTTAACCCATATTTGACACCTTTTATGCTCATGTGATCACTGGATTGTCTGGTCCAGGCTCAGTTATTTACAGAACACCACCATATAGCTGGAATATTGCTGATTGCGAAGTTAAACAACACACAAACAATCAAAAAACACTTTAACTACTAAGCTAACCAACCGCCCCCCGTTTAGTATGAGTGAGTGAGTATGGTTTTACGCCGCTTTTAACTATATTCCAGCAATATCACGGCTGGGGACACCAGAAATGGGCTTCACACATTGTACCCATGTGGGGAATCGAACCCGGGTCTTCGGCGTGACGAACGAACGCTTTGACCATTAGGCTACCCCACCGCCCCCGGTTTAGTATGAAGACTACAGAAATGAATGAATGACCCTCTCACCTACGACACTCATGGGATCTGCTAAGGCTGTGACGTACATGTCGGAGGAGGCCAGGTTGACGATGAAGATGGATTCCACGTTGTGAAGGGATTTCCTCGTTGCCACCGCTACAAGAATCAGAATGTTGCCAAACGTTCCCATTAACGTCGCCAGTCCAAGAATTATGAGAATTGGTATCGCCATTTCAGTTTCTTCATTGAAAAATTCATGGCGACCAAATTTGAAAATACTACCGTTCACAGAATCTTCAGAACTCATATTGGTTCTCGATGGTACCAGATTTAAAGTCAGTTTTAGTTAATGAAAATCTTCAATGTACTGCCGATCATATTCAGTGCAACAGGATACGCAGACGGAGGCAACAGTGGCGACGGAACAACGTTTGAACGTTGAATGTGTTTACGGACGTGTGCACGCGTGGCCCGGCGTTGATAGTGACAGTTAAATCAGTTCTGGCTGGTCGTGGTATTGTACTCACGAGGAAAATTCTCTGCTGATGTCATCGAGATGTTTATTAATTTAAGGCGGCTGGTGAACCGGGTAACCCGGATGTAATCGGAAGTGCCATTTTCCACTATAAATTGAGCAGTCACGTGACCATCGGAGCACGTGATTCGACAATTGAAAATACCGAAAGTTATTCATACGCCATATCATTATATATGTCACAGTTATGAGTGTTCGGGTTAATTCGTTATATGTGTGAAGCTTATAAATATAATAAATGTTTATCAAAAGGATAAATTTTCAAAAGTAACATCAGGTTGGCGAGGTGAGGTGAGGTGAAGTGAGGCAAAATTGAGTTTAAGAGATATGACAATGTGTGCGTGTGTGTGTGTGTGTGTGTGTGTGTGTGCGTGCGTGTGTGTGTGCGTGCGTGTGTGTGCGTGTATGTACGTTCATGCGGGTGTATGCACAGATCAGAACTAATGAACTATGGTCCCAGCCCACTCGTAAACCACTTCGGGACAGAGGTTGTCGGTAAAAACAAAATAACTCTCATTGCAGTCAAATGATAAAATCTATTTATCGCACATAAAAGGAAGTTTTTAGACCTTACATCACTCAATACAATGGCGCCTTACCTCTTGTAATACGTGCTAATTTCAGAGTTAGAAATTGGCCATGTCCGTTTTATTCTTTTAAGTAGCAATCAAAATATGGATTGACGAAACGAATAATGTTGAAGAAACTGATGCATAATAAGCACTACACACATGGCTATTATAAAGATTTGATACCTGTCAAATATACAAGTGGAAATACTTGAACACAACAACTTGTCATGCTCATGTGACGATAGCGATCTACAACAATACACTTGGGGGATACTTACAATCTACTTTAAGATAGGTCAGCGTCCGAGTAGATGTTGTTATCAGTGAGAAGTAAACAAAAGTGGTTGGCATGAAGGCACAAAGAGTGGAAGCTGAAACCTTCATGGTTGTTGTTGAACGCCGCACAGTCCAACTTTATGGCTTATAATTATCGAGTCGGGGCCAGAACATCCGGTGATCAACATCATGAAGATCGATCTGCGCAATTTGGATACCATGACATGTGTCAACCAAGTCAGCGAGCCTGACCACCCGATCCCGTTAGTCGCCTCTTACGACAAGCATGGGTTACTGAAGATCAATTCTAACCCGGACCTTCACGGGTGAAACCTCCATCTGCGACTAGGGGCGATGTAATTGTGATTAAAGCAATGGACCTGTTTTCGATTCCCAACACTGGTAGGTGCTGTAGGTTAGCCTAGAAGTAAAAGCTGGTCACGCTGAAGGCCGGGTTTAATTCAACACACACGAACATTGCGTGAGGACCATTTCTGGTGATATAGCAATAATATACAAATGAGGCATAAAACCACACCCACTCGCGAGTGTGAACATGATATTTAAAGGGGGTCTTGATTCGAGTAAAATGACAGTCCCAGCATGTTTCAAGTCCATAAACAAAATTATGTATCAGTATGGCAAAAGTGATTTGCCTTAAATAGATGATCCATCCGATGGATCATGAAACAAATTTCAACGTCTTGAGCTGGCAGCGAAATGGTTCCAAAATATCATCTTGGGGGCCGGTGCGATTGGTTCGTCATATTCTTAGAGAACGACCATTTGACACAACAGTTATTTACAGACCGCCGCCATATAGCGGGAATATTGCTGAGTGCGGCGTAAAACTAAACTCACTCACTCACAATTTCCACTTTCTTATAAACACAAAAACCCTTGTTTGCCCAAACTACCAATAATGAGACAAAATGTGCATTACTTGTAACACCAACCAAAGTGACTTAATTACAAACATGTTGCATCAGTAGAAACGCTATACTCATCCCAGACCAGACCCTACTTCGTGGCACAGTTCTAGGAATCGAGTTAATATTCATCGTCACCAGGAAACCAAATGGCTGATGTAAAAAATGGCTGAAAGATCGTGTTCGGTGACAGAGACGAAAGTGCTTCCGGAAGTCTTCCTTGTGCATAAATGACCTTTGAACTCTCGGCTCACTGTGTCTAACTTACCTACATAATGTCTGAACGAATTGTCAGAGAGGAAGTAAGTCGCCCAGTATATGCGCCGGTTATTTGACAAACTATCAAATGTGCAGGAAAGATATCGATGACCCCTATTGCACTTCTCTATTGACAAGTTCATTCAAGGATTGACTGTACGTCCGGTCACGAATCAGTTGAAGTTAAGCAACATTGAGCGCGGAGAGTCCTTGGATGGGTGACCGTGTTTGGCAGCTTGACTCCTGTGAGTATCTAAGACGTCAGTCCTGCCCCACAACGAAGCACATGTGATAAATGTGGTCTCACCTTAGGCAAATGAGCTTGTTCAAAATTACCTCTGTTCACCCAGCAGAAAATGGGTACCCAGTGGGATATCATGTGACCATAACCTTCAAGCGCCTAACAGGCAGCTTGGGTTACCCGGGATAATACTGAACTGTCATACTAAATGGACTAATTAGTATTATTTATTATGTGTCTGTTAATTGGGGTATTCCATCCTGATAAATGTTCTTGGCCCATTCGCCCCTTTCTTACGATCAACTTAGCATCGATTAGCTCTTGCTCATGGTCGTAATGTTTATGTCATTTGCACCAGAAAGTTGTCTGGTCAAAGGTATTTATCATAAAGCAACTGAAATTTGGTTTTGACTGCATATTGACATGGCCAAAGTTACATAAACTCCATGCCTTTCAGAAAGTCGTCAAATGTATATGTTAAATTTGAAATTACAATTTCTCATTAAAGTACAGATTGTAGTACTAATTGGAGTTAGGGGCGGTAGGGTAGCCTAGTGGTTAAAGCGTTGGCTCGTCACGCCGAAGACCCGGGTTCGATTCCCCACATGGGTACAATGTGTGAAGCCCCATTTTGGTGTACCCCGCCGTGATATTGTCGGAATATTGCTAAAAGCAGCGTAAAGCTAAACTCACTCAACTAACTGGGGTTGAATCGAATCCAGTCAGAGATCTAACCCACTCAGCCTCCAGGGCTGCCACACAAATGGATCACACCCTCAAGAAATAGAAATACGATTGGGCTATTATTGGCTATATACTGTGGTATGTGCGGTAGGGGTATCACAGTATAGTATAGATGTACCATTTTCACAAACACGTCCATAATGGCCAACGTCACATGAAGGTGGTGCCTAAAAGAAAATAATGTTTATTTTGATAGAGACATATTCTAAGCTTGTTTGAAAAACATTTGAATTAATTTTCGAATATATAAATCTTAATTTAAGTGTAAGATATACTCTTGTTTTGCTCATATCTGAACCAGTTTCTTGGGTCTTCTGGATTCTGGGAAAAAGCCTCGTAATGGCTGGGGTTCAAGGATTCTGAGTATTTGCCGGTGTACAAAGCCACCGATTTCATTAAATCAAAACGTACCACTTCACAGCATGCAGCCTCTCACGAGCAAGATTAATTCTGTTTAGAAAGTATTCCCCTGAAACAAAACCAAAACACACAAAAGTGCCTATATCACACACAAGCCCCACCCCTTCTGCTGTTAGTCAATTAGGAAACAGTGACCAGTTCATAGGTGTGACAGTTTTATTTTTGATCTGTGGGTTCGTTTAGGTCATTAAGTAACACTGAATTACAAGCAATATATATATATATATATATATAGTTACAAGCAATATATATATATATATATATATATATATATATATATTAAAGTGCAACTAACAGATACCTTAAGTACCAATGCTCATACTTTAAAAACAAAATTGAACGGATTTATGAACTACTCAACTTTTTTTTTGATCTATGGGCTCGTTTAGGTAATGAAGTAACACCGAATTACATGCAAAATTTATATTTCAAAGTGCAACTGACAGATACTTGAAGTACCACTACTCAGAATTAATAACATATATGTGGGTTATTAACACTAAACAAACAATATGTTGTTATGTTTCTAATCACACCAAAGATTATAAAGCATCGCAATAATTAATAAAGATTTATCCTTGACACAGGCCACCATTCAAGACTTAATGTTTGTGTTACCCAATACACCTCGTTATAGCCCGTGTAACCATAGTCTGTCTCACAGTCCCTGAACCATATTATTTTCCCTAATGCCTAGAACCACCACCCCCGCCCCACCCCGCAATGCTAAAACCCTAAATGAAGCAAGTCTAGATTTCCTCAGGTTCTGAATCTCCCAACTCACTGGGGCTCCTTTTCAATTTAAATGGGTTTATTTGTTACCATCAAAATTATATATATTCAGGGACTAAGCGTTAGTCTAGTATAACCACTGCCGTACGAATATGTATGAAGTCCGAAAACCTTTAATCCGACGACCTGTTCGATGTCCGAAAAGAATACTTCCGTTACATCTCCGTTGTGATCGTTGCAATTGACTGGCTCTTTAGTTCTTGGCGGGACTTCCCCAGAACCAACGCCTTCACTGCGTTTCTGAATCGTTTGTTGGTGCCGTAAAAGACGAAGAAGTTGAGCGAAGGATGTATGTGGGCGAACGTCGACAACAAGATGCCGACGTTGGTGTTGACACCGCCGTGCCTGTCCAACAGAAACAGTAAGGAAATAGGAAACCAGCAGATGACAAAGACGGAGAAGATGGTGAAGGCGGTTTTGGCCAACTGGACGGAATCACCCTTTTTCTTGCGTCTCCTGTTTCCCTTCGTGACGGCGACGATCCGACGTCGTGACTTCGCAACGCGATGATACAGATTTCCGTACGACAGCAACGTCGCCAACATCGGCGTCCATAAACACACGACGACGAAGAACACCATGAACCTTCCTATACTCGGACCCTGGACTAGGAGGCACATGTGGGTCTTGTGGTTGAAGCCGTGATGTCCAAATCCGAAAAACGTCATCGAGACGACGGTCAACGCCCAACCGTAGATGCACGTTAAGATGATACTCTGGACCCTCTTACCGTCGAAGCCGTGACTGTGACACACGATAAGGTAGCGGTTGACGCCG